CATGAGTGCCAATGAGAATCTTTTATAAGAAATTAAGAATGATAATTTTGTCCTCCTAGGCCTTCTCACCTCTTGCACATTCCACTATTTCTTGGTTCCTTCTCTAAAGTATTTTGGGTGGATTATTACCTATATCTTGTTATCTTAATCTACACTGCATTTTTATTCTACAGGTTTGTACTTCTAAGATGAACCTAAGTGATGAGGTAGACTTGGAGGATTATGTCTCTCGTCCAGATAAAATCAGTGCTGCTGAGGTTAGTTTTGCTATTTATATTGACTTTACATGCTTTTTATTTGGGTTCCCAATTTGGTGCTTAGAGACCATAGTGAAAAGATATGTACTATAAATCAGGGAAAGAGGATAGTTATAAATCTATCTCTTATATTTGGAACTAATAATTTCACCTTGTAGAATGCTCTGCATTTAAAACAAAATAATTTTCATCGATCATTGAGGGGTACTGCTTGTTACAAGATCTGTTTATGTGATCAGCCCTTCCTTTTTCCCCCAGTTTTCTGGCATGCTTTTTCCTTTCTTTGCTGATTCTAACTCATAACCGATTGGCCCTCCACAGATTGCGGCAATCTGTCAAGAAGCTGGAATGCATGCAGTACGCAAGAACCGCTATGTTATACTTCCCAAGGACTTTGAGAAAGGTTATCGATCCAACGTGAAGAAGCCCGACACTGACTTCGAGTTTTACAAATGAGATGATGTAAAAGCACTGAAAAACGTTATCTTTGAAATTGTTACTTACCTTGTTTCAGATTTGGTACTGCAATTTGATTTTAAGAAACTACTAGTAATTTTATCATGGAAAATTTGAGAACTCCCGGAACTGGGACCCGTTTCCTTGCATCCGACGTTCAAGAAAATACCATCGCTTACGAAAAAAAGAAAAATTGCCTACGTGCATTCCTGGAAAAAACAGGTAATCAAAACTACCATTGGAAACATTAACCTGTGATGGCTTGATGTACAACTTTGTGGATCCTTTTCTGAGCATCTGACGGGAACGGTGATGTAGATCAGATTGCAGTAGCACGGTGGGTCGAAAAACCATTCGGTTTTCGTACCAGGATTGAGAAGAATTTTTAGGATCAGAGTTTGGAAGAGGTGTAGATTGTATATCTAAGTTTGATGAAACTACCGGAATTGAGGATTGTGGAACATTCGAAAGTTTTTAAAGCCTTTCCCGAAGAGCATTTCAAACACGAGGACCAAGTACGTTTGAGTAAACCAAGGTTTTTAAAACCGGATCGGATCGACCGGTTGAGTCGGTCAGACCGATACCGGTAATAAAAATGATTCGGTTGACATGAAAAAACTGTTTGAGATCAAAACTGGTCAAAACCGGTGGAACCGGTAGAACTGAAAAACTGTCGGTTCAATTTCTTATGCAATTTTTTTTTGTTTTTTCCAATTTCACCCTCAATATTCATTTTTTATACCGATTTTAACCTTTACTTTTAATAACATTACAAAATTACCTATTCCTCTCATCAGATTCTCTCTTGTTGTTTGGACCGATTGATTCACCAATTTAACCAGTTGAATCGGTCAAATCAAGAACCAAACGTGAAAACGGTTCAATAACTGGTTCGATTTTAAAAACCTTGGAGTAAACTAAGATTCATGTTTAAAGAAAATCATGCAAATTAACTGGGACAATAAATTTATCAAAACCTAAGATTCAATTCTTGCAGTAGCATGCTGTACATATAGAGCATTACGCTCGGTTCAAACGATGTATATAACCAAAACGAGCATAAATTCGAGCTTCTTATTATTTTAGAAATTGCAATCAGCAGGTGCCCAATTTTAATAACTGAAGGGGGCCCAAAAAAAATTTGTTGCCATCAAACTTATTCTATGACCTACTTGACATCTAGGAGGTGCTAAAATCGCAGAGTTGGCCAG